CGACCGCGGCGGCGGCGGCTGCGCCGGCGACGACGACCTGCGACCCCCGAGAACCCACGACGACGACGACGACGAATGCGGCGACGTCGACGACGACGACGAGTGCGGCGACGTCGACGACGACGACGAATGCGAGGACGACGACGACGACGACGACGACGACGAATGCGGCGACGTCGACGACGACGACGAATGCGAGGACGACGACGACGAATGCGGCGACGACGACGACGACGACGACGAATGCGAGGACGACGACGACGACGAAGAATGCGGCGACGACGACGACGACGAATGCAAGGACGACGACGACGACGAATGCGAGGACGACGACGACGAATGTAAGGACGACGACGAAGACGACGACGACGACGACGAACGCAACGAATGCGACGACGACGACGACGACGACGACGACGAAAAAAGGGCGACGGCGGCGGCGACCGCGGCGGCGGCGATGCGGCGGCGAAGCTGCGGCGAGGACGGCGGCGGCGGCGGCGAGGGTCCGGTCGCGGCCGCCGCCTCGCGCTCCCAGGGCCTCGGCCGCGGGCGCCCGGGAAGCGCTGCCGCTCCCCGCCCACTCCGCGAGGAGGAGGAGGAGGCAGAGGGGGAGGAGGAGGAGGGGGAGGAGGGGGAGGAGGAGGAGGGGGGGGGAGGAGGGGGAGGAGGAGGGGAGAAGGAGGAGGAGGAGGGGAGGGGGAGAGGAGGAGGAGGAGGAGGGAAGGGAGCGTGGTGGGAGGAGGAGGAGGAGGTCTTGAATGGAATGGCAAGTCTCGCGAAGCGAAAGATTCATTTAAGGAGGGACGAGGCCTCTGGCTCCCTGCTCCAGCTTTGGCCACAGCCCATCCCCGATCCTGGATAAAAATTCCTGTCGAGACTGATTGGTTCCATGAACACGCTCGACGGCAAGTCCTCGAGCTTGCTCGAAAGAAAGAGGTCCGCATTTTCCTCAAGACCAGAGCGTCCGATGATTGTGGAACCTTAGGTCGTACGAAGACTGCACCCACCCCTCCACACGACCGGTCCAACCCCCCGGAAGAGCTTTTGGAGGAGCAGTAGAAGCGATCAGAGAGCCTGCTGCTCCTGCGGCGCACGCGGCCCCCTCCGTCGCTCGTGGACCCCCCCCCTCTCTGACGGGCGAGACGAGCGCTGGCTCGGCGAGGGCCGCGGCTGGAATGTTAAGATCGCCGACGACGAGCCGCGATGCCTGCAGTGCTCTGACTTGAGCGCCTCGATTGTGATATCGACTGAGATTGTCGACGACAACCCATGAAACGCCGCGATGACGAGATCGAACCCCCAAAAACAAAACAACTGTCGCACATGAGTCAGCATTGGCGCTACCTTGCCACGCCCCGAAGCCTCGATGTTGGGCAGCTGCGAGCGCGCCAAGACGGACGGTTACCTCCTGCAGGGAACCACCCTCGGTGGCGTCACTGTGGGCCTGGCCTGAAAAAGGAACATGATTCGGAATCAGCTCGGGCCCACAAGACTGCGCCTCTTTGCGCCGCTATTGCGCTGCATCTGCTGCCGCGTGGGTCTCCGCGAAAGCCCTAATCTGATGCTGCGGCGCATTCTCCTTCAAGCGCGACTATGTCTGAGACTGCTTCGCGGAGGTCGGGCTCATGCTTAGGATCGACTGGCACATGCAAAACAGACTCAGGCGACATTGAACACGACGCTGCCTCCATGCAGGATCTGCCGGCACCCGTTCAACTGAAAACGTGGACTGGTCAGCGGCGAAGCTCAGTTAGCGACGGAATCGAAGGAGCGCACTGCGCGCTGCATGCCACAGCGGCTGCATCTTCGCCGAAAGCAAACGTCAAACAATGGCATGCGAGGGAAAGGCATGTTGAACAGGTTGCTGAATGCGGCGTTGGACTGACGCCGCTGTTCGTCGGAGCACCCCGCTCCCCCTCTATGGGCGGCCCCGGGGGTAGATCTCGCGCTTTGCTCTTCCCGCCGTTGATCTCGCCGCCCTGGCCGTTGCTGCTGGCTGCTGCTGCGACCTTGACGTCCTGCTGCGTCTTCGCCGCCGCCTCGGCCACTGAGATCTTGCTGGCCGAGATGGCCGCCGCGCTGGCTGCCACTGCTGGGTCAGCGCTGCCGCTGCCACGGGTAGATGCTGACGCGCTGGGCTCTCTCGAACCCCTCTGCCGACGCAGCTGGCCGAGCTGCTGCCGCGCTGTCGTCCTCCTGGTCGACGGGCATGTCGATGGCCTCGTTGGTCGGCCCCCCCCAATGTCGGACTTCCTCTTCTTCGGCGTCCTGGCGTTAGTCGCCTCGCACGGCGCCTTCGCCCTGGCGACGCGCTGCTTCGCGTCATCGGACTTGGCAGCTGGTATTGCTGCCGCTCCTGGTGGATCAGCCTGGGGTCGCCCTTCTCGGACACGTCGATGCCCTCGAACTGGCCGAGGTCCTTGAGAACAGGGCCTCGTCCCAGACGAAGTCAAACGCTGCCTTCGGGCCGACCTGACCCTTGGACTCACGCGGCGCATCGATCTCCTTGGCGAGTGCCATCGTAGCCTGGCGCCGAGCTCGGTCTGCCTCTGCCAAACTAGCGCTGCTTCTTGCTCGCGTTACTGCGTTTTCCCAAAGTAAGCTCTGCAACAAACCACTGTTGCAACTGCTGGGTCACGTGTGGAGTTGGCGCCCCCCCCGCTGGCCTTGCGTCCGTGTGACAGCGTGGCGGAGGCCTTGCTCTTGTCTGGCGGCACCATGTGCGCCTGGATCGCTGGCGTGACTTGTGCCAACTGTGGCTGCCGCCGCTGTGGCTGCCACCCCCTTGAACAAGCCCTCGACGATGGCCTGTGTCTGCTGCTGCTTGAGATCGATGCCGGTCACGGCGTCGCCCATGACGCCGTGATCTCCACCACGTTTCTATAGAACGACCGTCGCAACACACTTCTGGCATCTGCAATTCGGGCTCTGGAACCGACTGTTCCAGTCCGCCGTGCCGCAGCCGCCGCATCTGCTCCACTGACGGCGAGGCATGGTGAGAAGAAACATCGAAAGACAGTTCTGCCCTGACTGGCCAACCGTGGGACCGTAAAAGACTGATGGGTCGCGAGCCCGCGGTGCACCTCAAGCACATCGCGGGGGCTCGGTGCTGGACCCCGGCCCGCCCTTGCCGATCTGAGCCCGAGCTGCTGAACAGAGAGGGGGGAGGGGGGAGGAGGCAGAGGAGGAGGAGGGTTCAACGAGAAGGGTTCTACACGATGCCGTCCACGCGGCATAGACGGCTGAGCCCCAGCACGTCGGTGAAAGTTGACACCAACATCGCCACCCCGTTCATTCGCATTACACAATGGTTCAAGCCACCACAAAGTCTTGAAACCTGTTTGGACCAGACAAGGGGGGGGTTCAAATCAACACCAATGTGCCCTCGCACCCTTATAAACAAAGCCAGCGCAAGCCTTGCCGAGAAATCATTCCTACGATCTTACGCTACCATGCCTCAGATCCCGACGCGGCCCCTGGCACTCGCGCCGGCCTGACCATTTTCGAATCGCTCAGATAACGACACAACACCCAGACCGTGCCGCCCCGATAAGTCACCCGAGGGGCGCCACTCCTTTGGGCGACCGCTCACCCCCACGCGGGAGGCCTGGACCGTGGGAAACGTGGCGAGGTTCAACCAATCAACCCCGCGTAAGGGGACAGCGACACCACCCGAGTCCTGGAGGTATACCAGGAGGCCACCGCAGGGGTGCCGCAGGCGAAACGTGACGACAAGGGTGCGCGGGCTTTAGCTCCCCAGGGCGGCGCATGCGCGCCGCGCTAGCAGATACGCCCCCTGCCTTGGCAGAGAAGGAAGAGGAGGAGGAGGAGAAGGACGAGGACAAGGAAGAGAAGAAGGAGAATGACGAGGAGGAGGAGGAGGAAGAAAAGGAGGAGAAGGAGGGGGAGGAGAGGGGAAGAAGATGAGGAGGAGGAGGAGGAGAGAATGAGGGAGGAGGAGGAGGAAAAGGAGGAAAAGGACTTTGGAAGAGGTTGCCTCATGCATGCTTGAAGGTTGGGGCGTTCTTGGTCCCGAGGCCTCTGGAGACCTCTGGAGACGTCCTTCAGGAAGAGGAAGGAAGACTGGGCCAGAATAGACTGGATCGCAATGGAGAAGAACGCAACGAAATGCAATGGGGCAAAACGGAATGGGATGGAATGGGAGGGGGGGAAAGAGAGGGACCTCCCATATCCTCCTTTTTCCTCCTCGCTCCCCCTCTCTCTTCCTACCTCCTCCTCCTCCTCCTCGGAGGAGGAGGAGGAGGAAGGGGAGGAAGTGGACCCCCAAGGAGCCCCTAAACCGAAAAAGTACCACGACCCCCCCACTACGCCTCCAAACGTCCCCCAAGAAGTCCCGCAACACACGGTGAAGAGGAGGACGAATCAGCATCAACTAGACGCAGGCTGCACGAGAGGAAGTGTCAGACAACAACGCGCACATACGATCACACACCCACACACACATATACACACGAATTTGAAAGCTGCACACATTCTGTTTCGTGGGGTCGGCGATATGTCGTAAGCCTCTTGGCCAGAGGGAGAAGTGGACGGATCCTGAGAGGGCGACGAAGAGCGTGAGGGGCAACGATAGGGGGGGACCGGCTCGGGGGGGCAGGCAGCATCGACCTGGAAGCTGCGATGCACCTCGGATAGCTCGGCGACAGGCAGGCCATAGCGAAACGGGGAAGGCTATCGGGCCCCTATCGGCGATGAATGGGCGATTGGAGGCCGATGCATCCCTCCTCTAAGCGCATCCCCGTCCCCCGTCCTGGCCCTAACTCGGGCCTCCAGCGGCCGTTCCGGACGATCCGGGCCCCCCCGGACGCCTCTCGGCGAGGCGCAGCTGCTGGAGAGCACCCCGAGGCTGGGAAACCGCCGAGAAGCGACGAAAGCTCCCGAAGGCCTCGGACCCAGAACCTCGAACCCTGACACTGCCCTCCAAGACGAGCGACCAGGAGGCAGGAGCAGGGCGGCGCCGCCGGCGGGCGGCAAGCGGCCGCCGCGCCCGCGCCTGCACGCGGCCGCGGCCTCCCGACAACCGCGCTGCGCGCCGCCGGGGTCGCACATGAAGCCTTCGCGCTGCCGCCGCCGCCGCTTCGGGGGCAGCGTTGGAGGGGGATAGTTCAGGGGCAGGGCTCGAGGCTTTCGAGGTTTTCGAGCTTTCCCACGACGGAGCCAGGACGAGGATACATTCGGGGGAGGATACATCGAGAATCTCTGAGATCCGGCGGCTCTGGGGGAGGCATCGGGCGCCACGGCCTTCTCAGAGCGTTCCGAAACGTCCTGAGAGCGTTCCAGAACGCTCTGGAACGGATTCTTCCCCTTCCTAGCCCCGTCCGATTTCCGAAGTCCGAGGCTTTCGCACGTTGTCGTGGGTTCGCGGCGATTGGCCCAGCCTCGGTGTGCGTTCCAGCGGCTGCGCCTTGCCGAGAGCGCTCCTGGGCTGCCCGGATCGTTCCGCACGGCCGCCAGGGGCCCCAAATATGGCCAGAAAGCCATGAGGGGGCGGCCGCGGAGGGCAAAATCGAATGCGATTGCTGGCACTGCACGCATCAGCAATTCGCCTCTGCGTGCACGCGTGCATAGTGCGCGTGCACCACACGGTCGCGCCACTACGCCCGTGCCTGGCGAAGCGGGGGCTCAGTGCCCCTGAAACGCGTCGAATTCTCTGGGAGGCGTCATGAACTGCGCACAGACAAAGCTTTGGGGAACGGGGCGGAGACGGGAGTTGGCATGAGTGCGAGCCAGGGGTCTGTCCATAACCAACGCCTTGGGGGATCGATCTTCGGGGGCCTTGGTAGGCGGTGGATGTGGATATACCCGGCAGGCTAGCGGGCCCGCGTACATCCATATCAACCGCCTGTCGAGGTCCCCGAAGATCGGCACCCCAGGAGGATGATGATGATGATGATGAGGAGGAGGAGGAGAAAAAGGAGGAGGAGGAGGAGGAGAAGGAACAAAGGAGGAGGAGGTGGAGGAGGAGTGTGTGTGTGTGTGAAGCTCTACAGAGAGGTGCCAGCATCTAGCAACAGTTCGGAGCGCTGGCCTTCGCTGGACTCCTCTCTAGAGTGCGCCGCGGCTCGAACCCAGGCCGCGCGTGGCCTCGAAGGCACCAAAGCTCCCACCCACCCCCTTCAACGGCTGGATTGCCACGTTTTAAACACCGGCAGGCCGAAGGGGCGGGGCTGTAAAAGCGGGAAAGAGAAACACATTAAAGACACCTCCCAGGTCCCAAGGACGCCCGAGCAAGCAGGCTCGCTGGAGCCGCGAGGAAAAGACCAGGACGCCCGAGGAACAACAAAAACCTGGGCGCCGAGGCCCCGCACCCCACACAAAAAGCGGGACGCCAAAAAGTTTTGCGGAGGGCTCAGCGCTGAAGGCCCAGGAGGTTCAGGATCGTCGAAAGAGGGAGGGGAGTCACAGACGAAGGGGTGGGGTTGTTCTGACCTACTCTAGATTCTCTGGGCTCACTGGGGCTCACTGGGGGCTCAGGCCTCCTCTGGGTCGGGGGCGCGGAAGTTGACGGAGTCGTAGTCTGGGTCGGGGAAGGAGGTACTCTCTGGGATCCCCGAGGCCGCAAACTCGCCGAGGTCCTCTGGATCCTTTGTGCCCACTTCGGCCCCGAGGGGGTGGTAGTATATGTGGCCGTCCTGTGTACAATCACATCCCGTCGAGGTGCAGCTGGAGCAGGCGGGCATTGTGACTCCTCGGGGGCGCGCCATGCTTGTGCACTCCCACCAGCTGCACCAAAGAACTGACCACTGTGTTCTCGAGCGTCGGAGGGTCCACTGCGATCCAGATCTTCGTCATCTCTCCGTTGTGTGTGCTTTGCATACGACAGTGGCATATGTCGTCCGCGAGGATGCTGTTGGTCGGGCGCTCCTGCTTGACCTTCTGCTGGTACTGTGTGAGTGCCGCCAGGTTCTGCTGACCTATCTTTTCTCCCTGCGCGACGAGGGCGCCCACCAGCGCCATCCACACGTGCGGGTGGGGGATGCCCAGGGCTACAAGCTCGTCGACCGTCTGGCCCGACTCCAGCTGCTCGCGTTTCTCCTTCCTGATCCTGGCGGCCTCTGTGCCGTAGTACTTCGCGGTCAGCTGCATCGACTGGACCACGTCGTGCTTGGTGGGCATCTGCACGCGTCGGTAGCTGGCGGCCTCGAGCTGGTTCAAGCCCTGTTAGTGTCTGAGAGACATCCTCATCAGGACGGGCGCGACGGCCTGGACCCACTCGATCGGCATTCGCTGCAAGTTGGCGACATCCTGACGGGCCAACCCGAAGTGTGTGTCGGTGGCGTCCCAGACCATGGGGGCTGACCCAGCCGCGGCTGCTGCGGCGGCTGCTGGTGCCTGGGTAGGCTCCGCCCCTTGGCCTCCTCCTCTCCGTGAGCGACGGGGCGCTCCTCGCTCGTTGCTGCGGGTGCGATATCCCTCTCCTCGCTGGCGTCCTCTGAGCTCTCTCTGTCGTTCTTCGGTCCCAATGCTCAGCGCACGCCCCGCGAGGTTCGACATCGAAGTGGATCTCAGGGGCGGGGGGGGGGCGTGGACCTCTCTGATGTGGCGCTGGAGGGCCTCCAAACTCGGGAACTCGCCTTGAGCCCTGGCGGCTTCGGTACGGAGGAGCCTCGTACGATGGACTGGATGCACCACTTCGGGGTCTAAGCAGACTGGGCAGAACAATACCTCGGGGACTCTCAGGGCGGGCGAGTAGGGGCTATAGTCGGCGATGCACCGTTTCATCTTCAGCGACTGCACGACGCGTCGCTTCGCAAGCACGTCCGAGGAAAAGGTCGAGGAGCAGTAGAAACACTGGCTAGTGACGACCAACTGATGGATAGGCACACGGCACCTATGAGCAGGATGATGACATTGATGGGCCTTGAGAGCCGCCTTGGAGACAAACACACTGTTGCAGGGTTCCCCATTTTCAAGAGGTATTTCACACCCATATTCTTGATGTGGTTCGGGTGCTGGTGGAGCTTCTAGGGTCGAGAGGTCCTGCGGAGGCACCAGCGGTCGAGAGGGGGCCTGGTCCCAATGCACCTTGCGGAGCCCAGCGGGGTCCAGACTAGCGAAGAAAGCCGCAACCCTAGACTGAGTAAAGATGCCCCTGATCGAGTGACCCTGGTCCAGGAAGAGCTTGCCCTTGGGGAGGAGCCTGAGGGTGAGGATGTCTTTCTGCATTTGGAGGGCCCACGGGTTCGCGCTTTTGTCTATCCATCCCGACTCGGTGAATACAGGCGCCTCTCTCAACGCCTCAAAGTTCCCAAGCAGCGCAGCAACCGCTTGCACAGAAGCCTCGGGGCACTTGGCGAGTTGTTGCCAGTACCTCAGCCTGCGTACGAGGAGCTCGGTGCGAGCGCCGGCGATGCGCAGGCGCTGGTGGACCTGCCAGGCGTGTGGAACTCGAATCTGCTCTACCCCCTCGACATCAGTACGTCTAGCAACTCCCCGAAGTGCGACCTTCGCGAAACCCAAGAGAAGGGCATCCAATTTGGCGTAGTCCCGTTTGGCCAGAAGGTAGGTCTCCAGGCCCGCGTAGGCCGCGCTCTGCAGAACACCCAGGAAGGCCATCCTTTCCAGCCTGAGCCAGACGTGTTGCTTCCAGAAACGACCCAGTTTGCACCAAGCCGACCTTGTGGCATCAATCCTGACTCGAACCTCCGCCCCCGCGCCTCCAGTGAGCTGTTCCAGACCTCCGAGGTAGGCCGCCTGGGCCTTGGGCTGCCCAGGGAAGGAAACGAGTCCCGAAAGGACGGCACGGGTGACCGTGTACCCTCCAGGGCCCACGAATACAGGCAGAATGAGCTCCTTGGATGCATTCTGCGTGGAGCCGCCTTGGGCTCTGAGCTTGGCCGCCAAAAGGTCGGAGGACTGCTTGGCCACCTCCGCGGCCCGAAAAGGATTGTTATCTGGCACTGGTAGCGTCTGAGAAACATCATCTGCATAATCTCGTAAAGACAAATCCACTAGCTGCCCCGAGCACGGGCAGGAAATGAAGGTGGCGGCCTCCATCAGCGGGACTATGGAGCCGTCCTGGAGGTGAAAGGAATCCGTTCTGGTAACGATGAGCTCTCGGTTCCAGTCCTCCAAAGGTCACGCGCACATGATCTAACGCAAAGTTCACAGGCGTTGCCGTCACCCATGCCTGCGCCACGCCTGGGCACATAGAAGCCTCGAGCGTCACCCGCTCGCACCTCCATGACCCCCTCGGCGTGGCGCTGCTTGAGGAACAGCTGGTCCTGCATGTCTGGAATGATCTGGCCCACCACCTCTTCCAAGACGTCGTGGGACGTGGAGGGGAAGGCGTTGGCCATGTCCATCTTGAGCTGGAGGTGGTTGACTCGAAGACGGCGTAATCTCCAAGTATGTAGCTTAGAGACCAGCTGTGCGCCCTGCCTCGATCGATGACGGGCGTACCCATGAGAGTGATGTGGCAGCGGCGGACGGCGGTGTCTGATGAAAATCCCACGGTACCAGGCTTTGCCGAAAGGGCAGTAGCAGTGGATCAGTCGCATCGCCTTCGTCCCCACCTTATCCATGCCTTTGGGAAGTTGGAAAGTCCGCGACCAGTGCCACCAGGACGGCGTGCGGCAGGCGGTGCGTATCTGACGAAAGAGAGCCCCCAGGCGCTCCGCCAGGCGCGGGCAGTGTACGTGCGGTACTCGACTTGGTCGGTCAGGTCGATCTCTGACATCGGGGACACCTGTCGGGCCCCCTCGCGCCTCGACGCTGGCCGCCCTGAGGATGGCGTGCCAGAGCTCGGCGGGCGCGGAGTGGGGCGGGGCGTAGCGCCTGCGGGCCGCATGTCGAAGGCACCTCAGCGTGTCGGCCCAGTCGTCATAGGCAATCGCTGCGGGGTGTCCACGTAGGTCCTTCCACGTGCCGTCTGGGTCGTTCTGCCCCCGCAGCGCCAGGGCAATCTCTGCTGGAAATTCAGGCTCAGGGACCTGCGCTGCCCCCCGCCAGTAGCGTCGCCGTCCACTCGTCCAGAGAGGGGAGGTAGTGCGGTATCGCATTGAAACGTCGATTCCTCACGCCACGGTATCTGCCGCCAATCTGGTACGCAAGCTTCCAGGCTGTCGTAGTATGCCCCCGCTCCGCGGCTGCGGTGGCGTCCCTTAGTAACTGCTCGACGTTCTGGGTGTCTAGTCTGCGCTTGATGCGCTTGATCTCTCGGTCGCAGGCTCTGATGGCGAGCCTGTCGCCCCCCGTCCTGCATTGCCTGCTAAGATCTCGTCGGCGTTCGAGGAGCACCTGCCGTTGTTGGACGTACTCGGTGGTCGGGCCAGGTAATACGCCACGCTGGAAAAGGGGCAAGGCGGCCTCTCGAACGTCAGAGACTAGAGACTGCCACGCCTCGGAGGGGTCGTCCTTTCTAGAAGTGCCGCGCCACGCGGCCGCTTTGTTCTCGCAGAGGCGTTCCAGTTCCCCGATGAGGTCGTGGCCCCCTCTCGGTGCAGCCAGTCCCGCCAGTCTATCGTAATCCCAGGTCGGGTCGCCGTCGTGGTCGTCGTGGTAATGGAGGCGGTAGGTACTTCAGGCGCCAGAGCAAGGGGGCGTGATCCTTCGGGTCGGCGTGCGGGATGAGCTGGAGATCACGCATTGCCCCCATGAGCGAGCAGCAGGAGAGTGTCGCATCTATGGTATCCCGTGGGGCAAAGAAGTGGTCAGGGTGAGAACGATGGCCAGCCTCTTGCCCAAAATAGGTTGGCCCTGTTGGAAAGTGTGAGTCGACCACAGATAATTTTTCCATCTGGAATAGTCGCCACCACTCCGCTGATGTGAAATTCTCGGTCGCTGTGTTGTGTGATCCCACATGAATGCCGTCCGCCGTGTACTGGTATGATCCATTGCCACTGGAGGTCCGCCCGAATTCAGTTGGCGTCGGCCCCGACGATCACCAGGCATCGTCGCGGGAGCTGCTGGATTGTGGCATGTATCCACTCCGTTAGACGTGACACAGTAGTCTACCAGTGGTCGATATGATGTCGCTGCTGCGGTGGGTAGTATAGAACGAAGGCGGCGATGTCGAAGGCAGAAGAACGCAATCTGACACCTCCTGCCCTTCCAGCGAGGGCGGTCGGGGGTTCATATATCCGATGAATGTGTGAACGTCTGAAGGCACGGCATCGTAGCATCAGTGAACATCCTGCACTTTTGTTCGTCAGGCGGCCCTTCTGCCACCCGTACTCGATCTCCCAGTGTTTGCCGCACTTGCGGATGGTCGCGCCATCTCCTGGTCTCCGCCTTTTTTGTGTACCTGGGAGCAACACGATGTCGGCGAAACTGAGGCGCGAGAAGATGGCAAACGCCCGCCATGAGTCAGTCATGGAAAGAGGGTTGCACAACACTGTCTGAAGAAGGGAGGCCCACGTCGGTGGGTGGGAGCGGCACGCAGGCGAGAGTGTGTCCTGCGGGGACGAGAAACAGGAGGCCGCTGCAAGCCTGTCCTGGGCCAGGGCCTGGAGGAGGAGGAGGAGGAGAGGAATGGATGGATCCCCGCCTCGGCAGAAGGAACATACGAACCAACGACCACTACCACCGCGGACAAAAACGAGGCGGACGGGGGCCGGGCCGTGGCTTCTCAATTGCTTTGCCTGCAGTGTCTGTTACGCTGTCTCCTCCTCCTCCTCCTCCTCCTCCTCCTCCTCCTCCTCCTCCTCCTCCTCCTCATCCCACTCCTCCTCCTCCTCCTCCACCTCCTCCTCCTCCTCCTCCTCCGCCTCCGCCTCCGCCTCCGCCTCCGCCTCCGCCTCGGCCTTCGCCTCCTCCGCCTCCGCCTCCGCCTCCGCCTCCGCCTCCGCCTCCGCCTCCGCCTCCCTCCTCCTCCTCCTCCTCCTCCTCCTCCTCCTCCCCTCCTCCCTCCTCCTGCTCCTCCTCCTCCTCCTCCCCGTCCTCCCTCCCTCCCACTCCCGTCCCTCCCTCCTCCTCCCTCCCCCTCCTCTCCTCCTTTTCGCTCCTCCTCCTCATCTCACTCCGCCTCCTCCTCTCCTCTTCTCCTCCTACTTCCCCGTCCTCCTCATTCCTCCTCCACCCTCCTCTCATCCCTCTTCCTCTTCCTCTCCCTCTTCCGCCTCCTCCTCCTACTCCTCGCCTCCTCCTCCGCCCCTCCTCCCTCCTCCGGACTACGCCTTTCCGCCCCGCTCCGCCTACCGCCTCCTTTCTCCGCCTCCTCCCCCTCCATCTCTCCCTCCCTCCCTCCCTCCCTCCATCCTTCCTTCCTCCTTCCCCCTCCTCGTGCTCCGACGCCTCATCCTCTCTCTCGCTCTCCTCTCTGTTCCCCTCCTACCCCTCCTCCTCCTCCTCCCGCTTCTCCTCCTCCTCCTCTCCTCTCCTCCTCCTCCTTCTGATCCTCATACCCTACCCTCCCCCTCCCTCCTCCCTCCTCCTCCCTCCCTCTACTCCCTCATCCCCCTCCCTCCCACCTCCCTCCCTCCCTCCTACCTATCCGAGACCTATCCTCCTCCTCCTCCTCCTCCCTCCTCAGCCTCCTCATCCCTCCTCCTTCTCCTCCTCCTCCTCCTCCTCTTCTTCTTCTTTTTCATCTTCTTCCTCCTCCTCCTCCAGGGTAACGACAACGACGACGACTGTTTCATACGTCAGCATTGGGCATGGATGAGCTCACATGGAACTGGCAACAGTGATCATAGCAAAAACGAACGGAATCGATGACGACAACGACGACGACGACGACGACGACGGCGGCGACGGTGGCGGCGACGGCAGGTCGGCGGCGACGACGCCGACGATGCCGACGACGAACGACGACGACGACGAACAACGACGACTACGACGACGACGACGACGACGACGACGACGACGACGGCGGCGACGACGACGACGACGACGACGAGGAGGACGAGGACGAGGAAGAGGACGACGGCGACGACAACGACCGGCGGCAAAGCGGCGGCGGCGGCGGCGAAGCTGCGGCCAGGCGACGGCCAGGCGGCGGCCAGGCGGCGGCGACGCCAGCGGTGGCGGCGGCGGCGACGGCGGCGGCGACGGCGGCCGCGGGCCTGCCAGGCCCATCCGCGCCACGCCATGGCCCTCCCGGATGTCCGGCGGCGCCACGCGGCGGGGCGGGCGCTTCCCGGCGGTCCCCGCCGCCATCCGCCGGCCATGCGCGCAGGCCCCGCGGGGCGGCGGGCGCGGGAGGCGCGGGGAGCCTGAGAGCCGCGCGTCGCAGTCTTCTGCGCAGTGGGCGATCCTGCCTCGTTCCGGGCCCTGGGGCCATCACAGGTCGATCTGGGCCGAAGAGTGCAGCAGAAGGTTCGGGCCTACAGTCGAGACCGAGAAGGAGGACGCGCGATGAGGAGCCCCTTGGACGCCCGCGCCGAAGCTTTTCGAGAGGGGTTGGCCATCGAAAGTGGCTGAGGATGGGCCGAAAAAGCCATGATCTAAGCGTACCCTTTGGAAGGCTAACCATCCTTATCATCGGTTTAAACTATGGAACTCCGCTCTTGATTTTTCACGGCTTTGCATGTCGGTCGCAGCGTTGGATCTGAAGGGAGGGGATGGCGTCTGTTGGGAGGGCTGCGCGGTAAGGGGGGGGGCTGGGCGCAGTGCAGAGTGCAGCCAAGCTGCTGCGGGAGCAGGCAGTGCGGAGCACAGGCAGAGTACAGGTGCAGTGCAGAGTACAGTGCCGAGGGCAGGCAATGCATAGCACATGAAGAGAGCGAAACAAGGAGCGAGGCACTTTTGGGGGATCCCACAAGTGCCGAGGTGTAAGAGGGGAGCTGAAGGAACAGCCATGAAAGGACCTGTTGAACAGCGAACCCCTTCCCAACCTGAACTTCTCCTTCTTTCAACGTTTTGACTGTACACATCTTGCACATACCCGCAGGGCCAGCAATCGTCCGTTGTCCTCTTCATTCGCTTCCTCCTCCTCCTCCTGCTCCTCCTCCTTCTCCTTCTTCTCCTCCTCCTCCTCTTTCTTCGCCTCCTCCTCCAACCCTTCCTCATCATCCCATCCCCGCATCACCCCTCTCAAAACCAGACGCTGGACCTCCCCTGGAGCGCGGTCCGACCAGAAAACCAACGCCGACCAAAGCAATCCGCGAGGCCTCGAGATCTGATGACTCTGCCGATCTGATCATCCGACGGGTGGAGGACGACAACGATGAGGAAGGGCGCAGGACAGAGGTGACAATGAGGTGCGAGCATGACGGCGAGCAGGCCGAGGAGGAGAGCGAGGGGGCGGTCTCCTTCTGCTTCAGCTCGGCGGACGTGTGCTTAGTGGGCTTCGCCTTGCCTCGCCGCAAACACAACGGGCAGGCGGAGCGACAGCCCTCGGGCAAAACTATCGGCAGGCGGCTGGCGGCGTCACAAGCTTTCTTTCTCGCATGAAGGACAGTCACTGTGACTTTTCAACGGGACGGATGAGGTAGACAGGATCATAGTAATAGTAATAGTCGTCGTCACCGCCGTAGTAGATGTAACAATAGTAGTAGTCGCCATTGTAGCAGTCGTGGTCGCAACCGTAAGTGTACTACTTGTCGTACTTGTAGTACTAGTAATCGTAAAACTAGTAGTAGTAGTAGTAGTAGTAGTAGTAGTAGTAGGAGGAGTAGTAGTAATGGTAGTAGTAGTAGTAGTAGTAGTAGTAGTAGTAGTAGTGGTAGTAGTAGTAGTAGTAGAAGAACTAGTACTAGTAGTAGTAGTAGCAGCAGTAACAGCAACAGTCGTAACAATAGTCGTAGTCGTAGTCGTAGTCGTAGTAGAACTAATCGTTGTAGAAGTACAGGTAGTGCCCGTAGTAATGGCAGTAGTAGTAGTAGTAGTGGAAGTATTAGTAGTAGTAAAAGTAATAGTTGTTGTTGTTGTTGTTGTTGCAGTAGTAGTAGTAACAGTAATACTAGTACTAGTAGTAGTAGTAGTAGTAGTAGTAGTAGTAGTAGTAGTAGTAGTAGTAGTAGTAGTAGTAGTATAAGTAGTAAACGTAACCGCGAAAGTACGCGTCATCGTAGTCGTAGTCTAAGTCGTAGTCGTAGTCGTAGTCGCAATCGTAACGTAGCCGTAGTAGTCGTAGTAGTAGTAGTAGTAGTAGTAGTAGTAGTGAGTAGTAGTAGTAGTAGTATTAGTAGAAACTGTAGTAAAATCATAAAATAAAAAACTCGCATTAAAAAAAAAAAAAAAACCCCCCCTCTCTATAAAAATTTTGAACCTAAAAATTCAAACTGTTTTTTTTTTTTAAACACATTTTTTTACTAGTAGTAGTAGTAGTAGTAGTAGTAGTCGTAGAGTAGTCGTAGTAGTAGTAGCAGTAGTAGTAGAAGGTAGTACTAGTAGCAGTTGTAGGACAAGTAGTAGTACAGTCGAAAACAAGCTGGTAAGCTTAGGTATGTGTTACGCTTTAAGCGTTGCCATATCCCAGGCTTTGGCTCATATCGCATGAGCAAGAGAGCAAGACGAAGCATGGGATCTGGAGTAAAGGATAGGATGGGCATCGACAATGGAAAAGGTATTTTCCGATCTCTGATGCAAGTCGTGCGCCTCGGTGAGGCACAATCACATATTTGGCCGGGCCCGGCTTGAGCCAGGCACGGCAGCGGTACATGCTCGATTTATACCTCGCCTTTAACCTTCTCCGTTTAAAGTCGGAGGGGGAGGAGACGAGCAGGTACCGCACTTCTACATTCTGCGGAAAAAACAGTGCTAAGCAGCAGCGGCTGCCTACAAGGAAAGGGCGCGCGAGTAGCCTCGCTACCGGCGAGTTTCCTCGCTACTAACGCGCACCTGCCCGCGGGTTTCCCCGCTGGCTCGGGAGGCAGGGCCGTCCTGAGACGACCTGCCCGCCCTATACGGCGCATGTTTCTTCAGCTCGTGCTTGAAGGATTGCTGGCCGGCCATTACTTGTAGGAGCAACGCGCGGTCAATACTACCTTTGGTATGACCATCGGCAGTCATATCCCGCGTGTCACACCATTTGACGCTTTCCACGATTCCGCGTTCCATCATCTGGCGGATCCAGCTGATGTGCCCAAGCAGAGTACATTCTGTGGGCTTCTTCAGATCTTTGCTAGACAAAGACTTGAAGACAGACTCGGCATCAATAGTCAGAGTGACTTTGATACATAGACCACCCATTTCCAATATGTTCTTTAACTGTGTGGGGGTCAATGGTCCCGAGTGTAGCTCTTGGAGCGTTACAATGGTCGGGTAGCAGTCTTCCAAGTTGTGGGCTGCTGCCAGTGCTTCCGCAGAGTAGCTCGAACGCACCTGCAGTCGATGAGACTTGCAGTATGCGTCCACCAGGTGCACGACGGGTTTCCCCGCTTGCGTGTGGCCACGCCTCAGCAGGTTGGCCCCGCGGATACCATAGCCTTTGACTTCGTCGTCTTCATCTCCGTTGAGACGACGATAGCCAGAATCGCTATGCAGGTCGACTTCTCCTGTTGGGGTCATAGCTTGATACACGATCTTCTTCGAACCTGCCTGTAGCTTTCTGGTAACCGCGTTTAGTCGTCGTACCTGGATGTTTGTCGGTTCCTGGATACGTTGTAGTGAGACAACATAGACCATCAGCCATACCTGCGTGATCAACGCATAGGCTAGAGCGCCACGAAGACTGACGAACATATCAGAAATCGTCTTTGTCGCTTTGCTCTCAGGATCAGCTCCTGTGAGTTCTGGATGTGTGATAGGACGAAGCTGTTTGATGTATTAGTCCTGATCGAGAGTGACGCTCCCATCATCGGTCTTGTTGTACCGAACGGCACAGTTTGTGTATGTGTGCTTGTTCAGTTTGCACTTCCCAAACGTATCTTCAACTCACTTGACATACTTGTCAATAGCCTCTTCCTTCCCAGTCATATTGATGTCATCAACGTGCTTGGCTGTCAAGAGGTTTGGGCTCATCTCGAACTCTTCGTCGTATGAAGTAGGCTGTAGCCAAAAGCTCCTAGTGATGGACCTGAGCTTCAGCGAGAATGCCCTGGGAGCATCCTTCGTGCCCGTCCCCGGTTTCAGACACCGGAGACAATGCTTTGATTCGTCATATGACTCAAAGCCTGGCAGTGTGCGAAGGACAGCTGCTGACCCAGGTGGTAGTGTGAAACACACCACACGTTCTTTCTCGCCCGTTGCCGCGGCGAGCTCGCCATAGGTCAGTCCCTTCAAGAAATCCATGTTGATGTCCAGGGAAGCGATGATCCAAGCTTTGTTGCATGCAGCAGAACTTGCGAGCAGTCTCTGGCTTGACCTCCTTGCCGTGCCAGAGAAGGTTTCGACATCAAAGGCTTCAAGGTCCATGAAGCCACGGAGTACCAAGCGTAACCTGATCGTCCTTTCCATTTCGCCCTTTTCGTTTTTGACAAACTTCCATTTGTATACGTAGCGTGACGTCATGATGTTAGACGCTTTGCTCAAGTCAGTCATCTGGAAGCATTTGTTGTCAAGCCAAGTCTTCAATTCTGTGTAAAGGGCTTTGGAAACTTTGACCGGATTTGCTTGGATGTCGGCCTTCGTGAGTAGATCGTCTTCCTTGACGACCACGGCGCGTTTGGAGGCAGCGCTAACGTATACTCGCATAGTTGTGACGCTGCTGTCATCCAACAATCGGTGTTGCTGCTCGGACAGGGCGACTTTGGACATGTCTGCAGTGAAGCAGAGCTCGATGTACTTCCCGTGCTCATCGGAGTCCAGATCATATTTGCTATCCGGATCCGTGGAGCATAAAGGAACATAGTAAGAAGTGTCCATGTCGTATCCTGGCGGGTGACCCCGCTCCGGCAAGTGGCCTTGCACATCTTCACAGGTCGTAGAGACTAACACACACTGTGTGTCTGTCATGTATGTGGGAACTGTATGCATGACTACCTCTGTGTCAGCTTCAAGGAGTGTTCTGTCATCCATCAGTTCAGCATACCACGACTTCAAGACAAAAGCATCCAGATCTTCTTCTGTTTCCTCTATGATGGTCGGGAGCCGACCATCGTTATCCGTAGGAGGCTCCTCAGGAGCAGCTGCTGGAGGTGATTCGCTTGGTGGTGGACATCAGCGAGTTCCTCAAACTTAGTGAGGTCTTGGTCAAATCCAGCAGACGGCTTCCTGGATTTAAGACACTGGATGATGCGTGAGTGTGTAGATCCTGTGATGTCATAGATGTTCAAGGCAGCGCCATCAGCTTCATAGTAGTGAAAACCAGGGGTCACATCATTATCATAGTGCACTAGTGTACAGCTGTCTGCATAGGGTGCAGCAGGCAACTTCGTCAGGCTCTTGGCAAGTCGTACAGCAACAACGTTTTCAATACGAAAGTAGTTGCGTATGAGGTACTGAAGAGCCAAGTGCACCTAGGCGAAAGTCGGCTCGCAGCAGTCATCTGCAGCCGACCCTGTTTCGC